CTGTTTGCTAAGCGTTTTTGAATGTGGAGAATGTGCGTAATTGAACAAAATGATGTTGACAACATGATAAAAGCTATACTGCACATAATAAACACTGGACAGTGGGCCTGGGCAATATCTAAAAATAATAAGCACAATATTTTCTAGTTAAAAATTGTGAATATCAGTGTAGTATCAAAATTATTTTGAAGCTGTTATTTTACTGTAAACTTGTTACATAGTGTTGCTTTAAATAGTTTATTTTTGCAAATGTGTCACAATGCATTTAATGAAATGTAAAACTTTTGATGTGGCAGAAATAAAATATTACTATATGGTTTTATTTCTGCCACATTGTCCAAAAAAAGGCTGATTTTAAACTCACCTGTAACACCTGAGCTGTCTGTCTGTGTAGGTCCATCTGTGTGGGCCAGTTTTACTCCTCCTGGAAGAGACAGAGAGCTGATTACTGCACAGAAAATGTTGAAAAGCATTTATATACAGTCATATGTAAAAATTTGTGCACCTGGTTAAATTCCATGTTATTGCCTTTCTGAGTATAAATAAGGTACCCATCCTCTACAGAGACACACATCTCAGTGTGACTGAGCTCTGCTGAAGTCTGAGTAGACTGATAAATCAATGTGATGATCAGTTATTAATCTCAGTGTTACTGAGCTCTGCTAAAGCCTGAGTAGACTGATAAATCAATGTGATCAGTTCTTAATCTCAGTGTTACTGAGCTCTGCTAAAGCCTGAGTAGACTGATAAATCAATGTGCTGATCAGTTACTAAGCTCAGTGCTAATAAAACTTCTTTGAGGGATGATCAAACTTGTCATCTCCTCAGATGTGTTTCTCCATTCTGGACCCTCAAAACCAACACAGCCAGAGTTTATTAACCACAGTGGACACATCACACTTTAAACCAGCAAACCACCCTCACTGTATTACAGTAATTCATCTGGAATATAATATTGTTTACACAACTGTACAGATGCTAAATTTCTGCAAATATTCATATTATTCTGTAATATTCTGTATATAATAGTTTTAATGAACATGTCATCAGACCTTCATATGTATAGATATTCTACTCTGATGTGTTGTTATTTTGTCTCTTAGTTAAATGCTTGTCAACAGCCTGTGTTCTGTCTGGTCTGCAACGCCAACCACATACTTGGCGAAATAAAGTGGTTCTGATTTAGAACCATAAACACACAAAGAACCATTTACATAATTAAATGGTTCTCTGCATGGTGAAGTGGTTCTTCAGACTGATGGAAAATGTGGTGTCCTTGAAAATGGTTCTATATAGCTACTGTGATGATGTCAAACTTGCAGCAATAGAAGAACCCTTTTCAAAAAAGTTCTATATAGTACCAATAGAACCATATGCAACACATTCTCCATCAGTCTGAAATACCATTTCTCCATGCAAAGGTTTTTTTAAAGGGGTTCATGGTTCTATATAGAACCGTTGTCTTTACTAAAGAACCCTTGAAGAACCATATTTTTTAGTTTGTCATCATCGTCCTATTTCAGTCTGAAGCAGTCAGATCTCCTGCTTCACTGCTGCGACCTTAAAAACAACTTCATTCACTCTGTTTTCATCTAATCACGTGTTTAAGTCATTTTTAAGTGTTTGTATTTACCTGAACTTCTGCGCTCCGTCTGTTTATTTGTAGAGCTCGGGCTCCATTACGAATCACGTGACCAGCGTCCCTCAGCTGCGTACAATGATGACAAATGCGCAACTCCAGACAACTGGAAGAGAAAATTACCACTCTGTCTTCCGGGTTTCTCAAACGCTAGAGGGCGCTCCAGAGCGAGTCCAAAATGAATGGATTAATACATAGATGGAGCATTTGAGCAAAATTATAGGTTATAAATGCTTAAACATTTTTAATGTAAAATAATACAATCATTTCCTGAACACAGAGCAGCATTTTAACACTGCTGTTATATTTTTAAGAGCTTTTAAACTTTAACACAGCGCCGTATGTAGGCTCATGACATCAGTGAGCGCCAACAGCCAATAAGCTGCTCCTGTCGCCAATCAGCACTCAGTAGCAGTAACGCCAACCAATCAGCTCTCAGTAGCAGTAATACCAACCAATGAGCGCTCAGTAGCAGTAACGCCAGCGTTCTGCTGCCCAAAACCCGTTTGCTGTAGAAAAAGGAAACATACGGGTGAAATACAAACTTCTGCTTTCTAAAATTAAAGGAAAGTTCTGGGCGAGTGATTAGAAACTATTTTAACTTTTCATTTTTATTACTTTACTCCCGTAAATGAATTAAGGACTCTGGTGTTTCACAGTCTTGTTTTTGATATAAGGGGGGAAACAGGAAGAGGCCAGACTCCTCATAAACCGGCATAAAATTAAAGGAACAGGCTGCATAAAAATAAACATACTGACTTTATTGTTCAAATTGCATTTATGTAAGTTTATTTCCATAATAAACACACAATACAATGAATGCATCTATCACAAAATATGACTTTTTTTTTGTCTTACATACTGAACATTTCAGTAAGTTTAACACTATGGCTTTTGTTTGGTGGGATTTGGGGGGGTAGGGGCTTGTGGAATGACGTGGCTGATAGAAACATAAATAAAAGTTTATTAGCAAATAAAATTACAGTTCAGACCTTGAAACTACAGAAGCCATTTAGAGCACCAGTGTGTCAAAGTTGTGATTTATTATCCCAAAATAATTCCTTTTTTATTAATAACTGCTGAAAAAGCACCATCTTACCTGAGAACAAATCACAAATAAGAAAAGATTCACCAGTGTTTTGTTCTCAGGTAAGAACAGAATCTACACACACTCCTGAGCACAAAGGTGAGAACAGTTCTGCGCTTTAAGAGCACGTCAAGAATCTCGCGTAGACTTTTTCTTAGGACCTTTCTCAAGAACATATTTGAGAACAAACTTAGGAGGACGTTGGAAAAATGAGGCCTTCACTGATCTTCACTGCTGAGTTTCAGCTAAAATAAAGTTTAATAAAGATTCATGTGAGAAGGTCCATGTTTTCACTGTCAGAGCCAGCAAAAGACTCTCAGCCCACATTCCTGCTTTTGCATTGCTTTTTGTGAGTTCAACATGGTGGTGGTAGTATGAGGGAAAATTGATTGAGGGAGGGGAGCGGGGGGACTGAGAATTTGGCTGGAGTTCTGGGCAGCTTCTGCCTGTAGCTAGGCCAGACCCCCTCATAGCTGTAGCTGGACTGATGTAGGACTGCGGAACAGGGAGGAGATGGGGTGGTGGGGATTGCCAACACTTCGTCACTTTTTTACACTGACATACACTGAAATTTAAGAGCTTTTTTCCTTCTTCTGAGAAGTTACTTTTCTGTATAGAAAATGGTTCTATATAAAACCATGAACAGTCAAAGAACCATTTCCACAATTAAGAGGTCTTTGCATCATAAAAGTGTTATTCAGACTGATGGAAAATGTGCTGTATATGGTTCTATATAGAACCTTTTTGAAAAGAGTTCTATATAGCACCCACATAGGTTCTGCTATTGTTATGATACCAAGCTTGTTACAATTGAAGAACCCTTTTTGGTGCTATATAGAACCATATTCAAAACATTTTCCATCAGTCTGAAGAACAATTTCATCATGCAAAGAAGCTTTTAATCATACAAAGGGGTTCTTTATAGAACCATTTACTTTACTAAAGAACCCTTGAAGAACCATCTTTTTTCTTATGAAGTTTGTTCCTAAATGTGTTCTTGAGAAAAAGTCTACATCAGATTCATGATGTGTTCTTAAAGCACAGAACTGTCCTCACCTTTGTGCTCTTGAGTGTGTGTAGACTCTGTTGTAACCTAAGAACAAATCCCAAATAAGGAAACATTGGTGAATGTCAGAATCTTGGTAAAAACTGCATAAGTGGATTTTAAGAAGAAACTTCTTTTTAAGAACGGTTGGTGAATGAGGCCCAATGTTTTTAGGCCCTTATGCCCAAATATCTGTGGTAAAATCCCATCTGTGGCCAAACCATAATAATAAAAATCTGTGTGAAACGACAGTTAGCTCTTCTAAAGTTTACTAAACTCTATAAAATGTGGGGAAAATCAGTAACATATTTGCTCTTCTGTCTGTACTCAGTCAAATGCCAGTTATAAATGCGATCATTTGTTCATGTGCAGTGCATTCATTGGTTCACTGTACATTGCTGCCCATTGAGAATATGAAACATATTTATGATACTCAACACATTCTCTAAAACACATTATAGCAGTACTACAGTGCAGTACAGAGCCTAACAGAGCAAACAACAAAACAAAAACACTGATGACAGATGACTAAACCTTTAAACAGTGCAGGTCATTGAGCTCTTACTACTGAAAATCACAAACTTAACTAGCAGAGTGGACCGAAAAAAATGCTGCAATGAATTTACAATTCAAATATGTACATCATTACCACATATAACATATATAACAGGGATAATTCTACTGAATTTGTCTAGACTTCCTCCTTTTTTCCCACAGAAAAAAAGAAAAAGTAAAAAAAAAAGAAAATATTCAGAGCTTAGGTATTTACAAGGATTATGTTCTGATCTGTTTAAACTCAAGACATTAATAGAGATAGTAATAAGCTAAATATATGCAAAATCATCATCTATAGGCTACTTTTTATTTGAAGTTGTCTGTCCCAAACCCTAACCTCTAAATTTACACTTCTGAAAATAATACTTTTCAATGTTTTTTTGTTTAAAGACTTTCTTGATTTTAGCCACACCCCTGCACTTAAGAGTAGGAAGTGAGACTGCATCCCTGTCCCACACGGCCACATGGTGAGCAGGTTTGAAGTAAATGTAACCCAAAGTCTGAAAACCAGCATGGAACATTAAGAATTGTCAGAAGTACTTTATAGTGTTTTAATGAAAAATATGATGATTTATGTGTGAACAGCTGTTCAAAGCTGTGTTTGCCGGTCATGTACTGGCTGGTTTTTAGCTTAAAATTAGCTAAAACTGTCACTACTGAAACATTTGGTAAAGTGTCAGTAGTGTTATGATTGTTTTGGTAGTGACAAAATGGAGTGGTCAATCATCCGTTTTAATAAAATAAACATAATTAAGGTATAGGGTCACTCAAAGCGAAAGGATTTAGTCTAAAGTTCAAGATCAGTTAAAAGTCCAAAATGAGTTCCAGCTCTGACTTTAAACCAGTTCAGCAGAATCATCCATATGCCCAATTCTGTCCACACTTTTGATAATTAATACATCAATAATTAATGCATGTGATATACACAGTTAAATGAAGTAAATTCAGTGCAGATTCTTTTCAGTGCAGTTCAAACTGTTTCTACTTCTGGATCTAAGGAAGTTATATAAACAGTAACTTGGTTATAAATCAGTGATGTATATTGCATCTTTTACAACACAAAAAGACATTTATTTGGTTTACATCACTGCAGAGGGGGCAAACACCTCTGTGCTCAAACAAAGTAATATTACTGACAATGACAACAATGTAAATTTGTAATATGAGTTCAAAACAGGAGGCGATTGCAAACACAACACTGAACAGTCTGGAATATGAACGAGCCGACAAACATTTAACAACAGAAAATATACACTCTCAATTAAAAAAAAAACAAAATGAAACACACACACACCCACACGCACACCCTTCTGGCTGTACTGTAATTCTTCAGTAACTTACAGGCATTTCCTCCAAGTCCCTCAAAGAGACTTTGCCCACCCCTCACGTCACTCATATTTTAATTAAAAAAAATTAAAAAGTAAAGGCGGTTTATGAAGCAGATGTGAATGAGAAATGCAGCAAACAAAACAACCATATTAGCAAAATACTTCTGGAATCACCTGCAGGTAAAGCCCATAAAGAAATACCTCAGCCTCAATGCTAACATGGCTAGAAATGAATGCAGACCAATGAGAAGCTGTCAGCAGTGGCGTAATTCTAGCTGGTCCTAGCGATGTTAGCATTTCTGGATATTCCTTGGAAGCAGTTAGCAAGTCTCATTTGCATAATGCTAACTGTTTCCTGCTAGCAATAGCAGCAAATTTTGGGTATTCCTTACAAGGAGGTGGTCCACCATGGTTTCACTTACATAACTGGTTTTTGCTAGAGATGTTAGAATTTTTGGGTGTTCCTTGAAGTATTTCTTTAATCAGATGGCAATGAATCATGGCTTTAAAGGTTTGGGGCATGTAAAGGAGCAGTTCTAAGCGACATGGTGCTGTAACGAGCAGTGCAGGTAAATCTGGGCTGTGTCCCGAATTTACTTTCCTCCTTTTCACCTTGCACCCTTCATATCATTGCTGCCATAAGAAAATACTGTAACTTTCTAAAAATGCTAAATAAAATCTATAAAATCTTTTACATTTACATAAAAGTTTCCATAAAATTACCACTTACATTGTATAATTTGCTCATTTACTCACTGTGTGTAAAGAGTGCATGTCGCTAATCCCTTTCTGAATCTATTACTCTGTATGAAGGGTGCAAGAAGAAGCATTTAGCGAATGATTTAGGACAGAAAATACTACACCTACCTCCCCCACTCAACACTCTACACACAACAAATACTACTATTTAGGTCGAGTCCTTTCAAATTCACCATATTCACTATATTCACCGAGTGCCCAATAGAGAGGACATTAAAGCACACAAGAAGTCAAAATTATATCAATTCACCAATTAACTTTAAGAAAAATTAGGATTTTGGCAGCAAGCATGGTGCTAAAATTAAGACAAACAAAACACTAATTACAGAATTACAGAACATACCACACTGTTCCAAACATAAAAACACCTTTACAACCGCATATTGCAGGCAGCTCTGATCAGTCTTATGGTGGCTGATCATGTGTGCCGAGTATTTGGGCTTTTGAATGGTGCTTTGGGAGCAGCTAAACATAAATGTGTTCTGTCGTAGTGAGGCTTGACAAACTTTACAGAACAATGTTGAAAATCCCATTAAACGTGGTGAGAAACTGTAGAATGCCACTTGGATGCAGTCTAGTTTTATAATCTAGCTAGTGTTTAGCATAGTGGCTAAACTAGACCATGTCGCTGTTTCCTATTTTCGATTAGCTACAACAGTCCAGCTTGGTTGTGTAGCATTTCAAACTTAACGTTATGTAACGACTCTAAACAAACACTGTAGTGGTTTGATATGAGTAGGTATTGTGATATAAACTGGTATTGTGAGTCTGTTCTACAGTTTCTCATTAGGTTGAATGAATAACTGGCTTTAAATGTAGCTATTGTGATATAAACTGAGTCTGTTCTACATTTTTTCATTGGGCTGAATGAATAACTGACTCTAAATGTAGGTATTGTGATATAAACTGAGTCTGTTCTACAGTTTCTCATTAGGTTGAATAGGATTTTGTCCAGCATTCTGTAACACTTGGTCAACAGCAGCTACGAAGGAACATGTTTGTGGGCGGAGCCTGGGGAGGTCAATAAAGAGGCTCTCTCAAACAAAAAGAGTAAGAGAGCAGAGTGAGTGCGGTTCAGACGGCCATTCGGTGGGTAAACAGATAAAAATAAAATCTGTTTACCACTCAGGTAAAATCGACTTTTACAATGTAAAACAAAAGACATCCACTTTGATAAAAACATGGATTTATAGATGGATGGCAGGAGGAACAGAAGAATAGATGGATGTCTACATCTCATGTGAGAGGACTTCATGGGCAGGGACACCGTTGGAGTGGCCATTCGGCTGACCGTTGGAGTGTGTGTTGTTTTCGTTGAGTCTGCGCACGCGGTACACTTCGTAATGAATACTGCTGGTGATGTCCTTTAGGTTTTGCATGTGGGTCCTACATGAGAAACAGAAAGAAAAAGAGGAATAAAGATTTAGAGAGACAGTCAGTCTGTTCTGCACTTATGCTTATGCACTATAACACATTTTTGGGCTATTTTGTTGTTCATTAACCGCCGTGTCAGTATTTCTAAAGTTTTATGATGTAAACAGGCAGATTAGTGAGTAAAGAAGGCTAAACTGATCCTCACCTGATCAGCAGATCCCTCAGGTAGGCAAACTCACAGTGCGCAGTGTTCTCAACTGTAAGATAAAGGCTCAGGTGAGGAACATGTACAACATAAAACATACATGACATACTTGTGTGAAAGAAACAAACCCCTTAAACTCTAAAGCAGTGGTCACCAACCCTGGTACCTGTGAGGTCTTTAATCAGCTGGATCAGATTAATAGGTAGTAAGTTTTAAGATTAATACATAAATAATAAACCTGTTATTTAAAGAATTAAGAATATAAAACAAATTAATTTGATTTGAAGCCTCGTATTACTGCACAATCAAACTACTGTCCTTTTCCTGACTAAGCAGTGATTTTGAATGAGCTGTAATTCCTCTAATGTTCCACTAGGAGGAAGCGTGGTACCACAATCATCTTCACCATAGGAGTTAAAACCTTTTTGATGCAGTTAAGATGCTTAAAGCTTCACTGAAAATTACAACAGCCACTATAATTTTTAAATAAATTAAAAAAGAGAGGTGAAAGTAACACATCTGGGAAGAGAGAGAGAGAGAGAAAAAGAGAGAGCATGAGCGCATGTGTATAAATTGTAGGTTCTGTCAGCTCCACAGATTGGAAAACACAGTTTTAATGTTCTTAATGTTTAAAGTTCAGAGACATTTTTAAATTCCCCCAGCAGAAAATTAAACAACAGTGAACAGTACAAAACGCCTCACACTTAAATGACAGGAGAGAATTAAGAAAGAATAAAAGAAATTATTATAAATAAATATATTATGCGATTTTAATATGAAAGTAATGACAGACAGATAGGACACTACATGTATGTCTGTGAGTAACAGTAGAGCGTTTAGAGTGGTGGTCTCTGAGAGAGTGTATACTGCAGGGTTAGTGGTGGTCTCTGAGGAAGTGTATCCAGAGATTTCTGGATCCTGTTTTACTCTGTAAGAACAGATGAAGCCATTTGTTTGTGATTTTTACACTGAAGACTCGCTGTGTGTGTGTGTGTGTGTGTGTGTGCGTGTGTGTGTGCGCGTGCGTGTGTGTGTTACCTTCCACTGTGCCCCATCGTGTTTTCCTCCCCAGCAACCTCTTCCCGTTCACCTGGTACTCCTGATCACTGCCCACTACAGCAAACGGAATCATCTCCTACCAGAACAGAGAAGAACACAGAGTTACACTCACTACATCAGAATCAGAATCACTTTATTTTGCCAAGTATGTTACACACAGAAGGAATCAGTCTGGGTGAGTCGCACATGAATGACATTAACTCATTGAACAGACCAGACAAGAACACAGACTGATAACAAGTATTTAACTAAGAGACAAATACAATAACAATACAATAAACAGAGTAAGGAATAATAGAGCCGTGGAGAAGCTGAAGAGAAGTTAGAATATCTATAAATATGAAGGTCTGTCGCATGTACATTAAAAACTATTATATACAGAATATTACAGAAAAATATGAATTTTGCAGAATGTTAACATCTGTACAGCTGTGCAAACAGCATTATGTTCCAGAGGAGTTACTATAATACAGTGAGGGAGGTTTGCTGGTTAGTATGATGTGTCCACTGTGGTTAATAATCTCTACAGCTCTGGCTGTGCTGGTTTTGATGGTCCTGAATCTTCTACCAGACGGGAGTGTCTGGAAGAGGTGGTGTTCAGGATGAGAGGGGTCAGCTGTAAATTTGCCAGCTCGCTTCATCACCCTGCTGTTGTAGATGTCCTGAAGAGTTGGCAGATACATCCGATGATCCTCTCCGCTGGTCTGGCTATGTGCTGGAGTGTGGCTTGTTCTTGTAAAGTGGAGCAAACCAGATGGTTATGGATGACATGAGGATGGACTCTATGATCGCTGTGTAGATCTGGATCAGACTCTGCGGCAGGCAGTAACAGCTTCTACTCCTCTGGGAAGGTTTTACAGTAGATGCTGGAACATTACTGTGAGGATTTGATTGCATTCAGCCACAAGAGCATTAGTAAGGTCACGTGATGTTGAATGCTAAGGCCTGGATTACAGCTGGCATGCCAGTTCCTCCTAATGGCGATGGACGAGGTTTGGGTAAAAGATCTGTGCAGGCCAGTCAAATTCCTCCCCAATACACTATTTCTTTATTGAGCTTGCTTTGCGAACAGGGGCTGTACAGGAACAACAACAGGCCTGGGTTCGATTCCCTGGCCAGGTGACCAGGGTGCTTTCTGTGTGGAGTTTACATGTTCCCCCCGAGTTTGTGTGGGTTTTCTCCAAGTGTTCCGGTTTCCATCCACAGTCCAAACATATGCAGTAAGGTGGACTGGACATGCTATATTGCCCCAGGTGTGAAAGTGTGTGTGAATGTTTCTCCCCGATGACCACTGAGATAGGCTCCAGCTCCCCAGCGACCCAGGAGGATAAGCAGCTTAGATAGTGTGCGTGTTTGAGATGGTATGTTGTAGTATTAAGTTTTTCATTCACTGGAACAATAGAAAACTGCCCCAGATCATTAGTCCTCCTCCACCAAACTTTACTGCCCTCCATCATCCTGTCAGATGCTAAAGTGTGATTCTTCACTCCAATGAAAACGTGCTTCAGAGTCCAGTGACTGATTGTGTGCTTTGCACCAATGCCTGGCATTGTGAAAGGTGATTTTAGTATGCTGTGTGGCTGTTAACCACAGAAACCCAAACCGTGAAGCTTCCAACGAACAGCTCTTGCGCCGATGTTGCTTCCAGACAAGGTCCGAGGGCTAAACTCTAAGGGGAGCTTGTGTAGGCGCTGGGTTTCCACTTCAAAACAGCACTTACATCAGACGGGGCAGCTTTAGCATGGGGAGACATTTGCTGACCTGACGTGTAAATGGCATTTGAGGACAGCGCCATGTTGAAACTCACTAAGCTCGTCAATATGACTCATTCTACTGCCACTGTTCGTCTATGGAAACTTCAGTGCTATGTGCTTGATTCGCTAACCTTTTAGCGATGGGTGTAGCTGAAATGCACATATTAAAATGTTTCACACATTCACACATCAACTCACCCTGATTTTGTCATTGATCATCCTGTCCTCCGCATCCTCATCAAACTCCTTCTGAGGGTAAACTTCAATCTCATTGGCTCGCAAGTCCTCCCTTATCTGTACAAGTAAACACACACACAGATGCAAATCAGGATGATCATAGATTCTACTGCCCTTGTGTAACTGAATAAAGGCTTGGGAGCCTAAATCTGAGTTTTCTATCTAATTAAGTTAATCTGGCTTCTCAGGGCCCCCAGTGTAAATGTACAAAGTATTTCTTATGAATATCTTCCAAAAGTCTGATAAATGTCTGCTGTATTTCACCAGTATTGCTCTCTTCTCCATGTAGAACAGGCAGCCCTAAAAGTGGGTCATCCTACCCTCAGCATAACCCTGACCAATCACAAGGCTAACCTGGCTCCGCCCTCCCTTTGAGTCCAGATAACCTGGCGAGCTAAAGCTATCTTAGTAAGCATTTTAGTAAGCTAGCTAGCTATCCAGCTATTTGAGTGTTTGGTGCATTGAGGTTCATTCACCCAGTGGTGTCAGCATTCCATGTGTGTGCATTCCCCAGATGCCCATCCAACAGGAAAGTGGATAAAGGCCTGTCCACTTAAGGTTTCATCACATAAAAACTTAAAAAAGTTTTTTCCTCATCGGTAGGTTCGTACATGTATGGCTGTATAATCCCGATTCTCCCCTGTGTGCGCCATTATGTTGTAAATCAATATATGGACTGGTACCTGAGTAAACTCTAAGATCTGTGAAATCACAATTGCAATTTAAAGTAAAAGACCAAAAAATGCAACTTTTCTGTCTCAGGACTGTGGGCGTTGCCGTAGTAACAAACACAATTTTGTTCACCAGTGACATAGGGCGGTCAGTTGTGCATATTCATTAGACTGTTAAGACTACGTCCAGACCGTTCTCAGAGAGGTATGATGAGTGCATTTTGGCGATTTTTGAGTGTTTTATTATATTTCTGCTTGGTGTTTTCTCTTTAAACTTTGCTGAAAGCTTCACGTAACACCCAAGTTTAGTATTACAGAAAAAAATTCTATATATCAGAATTTGTTCCCAGGGGCTTTAAAAAGATCGGCTGCAACGACATGGTTTCATGGCTGAATAAAAAACTGCTGTTAGACGACAGAGCCTGTGGTTAAAAAGTCTAAGAGCAGACTGACCAACTGGTTTCATATCACCACTAATGGCCAAACGAAAAGATAATGACAGGAATGTGGTCGATCAAAATAAACACATATTACTGAGCACGTCCAGGGCTGAGACGGCCGATACATCATCTCAGAGGCGCTCTGCCAAGAACGAGCCACAGAAGGTTCCAGAAAGGGAAGCGTCTGAGACGTCACTGAAACCCACACAGCTTCAAAACTGCCCAACCTTTTAACCACTTAAACTGCAGCCTTATCATTCAGTTATTAATCTTTAAGCTTATTATATCGGAAAATAGGAGTTATTCAGCAACTAAGTTGACCAGAGTTCTTTAAAGTTTATTCAGTCTCACAACAGCTACAAAAGAACATATCGGTGTGCTTCTCTTCATCTGTCGGCTCAGATAGGCCCTTGCATTTAAACCCCATAAAAGCAAACAGCTTATTCAGCCATTATTCCTAAAACTAATTTAATCAGTATTTACTAAGAAATTAATCTGTAATATATAGTTATGAGGGTGAGAAATTGATATTTGAGGAATGAGGGTGAGGAATTGACCTGGCTGTTGGGCTCTTACAGTTTAAGGGGTTAAAATGACCGCCATCTGACTCTACTGTACGATGAAAACATGAACAGAGAGAGTGAGAGACAGAGAGCGAGAGAGATAAAGATAGAGTGAGAGAGAATGTGTTGCCACCGGCTGGCTAAAATGAATGACCAGAACTTCAGGCTGATCCTAAGTCGACCCCGCACAGTTTATTTAAATGCTCCACTTACATCCTTTTGAAGTCTTAAGCTGAACATTAAGGCAAATAAACCAGTGACGTTCACCACAAACATTTCAAAAGGTCCAAGAACTCATGGATGTGCTGAAAATCACAGGGTTCACACTCCTGTTTGAGTGCCCTCCAACATTCCCTTTCCCTGATACGCTTTGCAAATAACAGCTGTTGTTACAGTAAAATTCAACATTTAACTCTGACAAGAAGCTTGACCTGTATTTCCAAGAATGCACCAGTTTTTGCAGCAGTATGCGGGATGTCAGAAATACAGGACGTTACTACAGGATTTTTACTGTAAATGTAATGTGGAAAAGAAAACGGTAAATGCATTCACTGAGACATCGTTAGAATCAGGAAAACAACAGTGCTGACAGCGCTGAATAAAGTCTGTTTATTTGTTAGCTGTGTAGCTAATGTTTTAGCATTTATGCTGGCAAAATGAGTGTTTTTTTTATGTAACTGTAGACGTTTGTGTGAGTGTGCACAGTAATGATTCATCAGCACAACAAGTGTTGGCTGCTAAGTAAACGTAGCTAGCAATAAAGTGGCTAATCAATTTTAATAGTTGCAAACAATGAACAAGAAGAGACGATTAAATCCTAAACCACAATTATTTATGATAATAAATCATCAGACCCTACAAAGTCCATCCAGACGCCCCACAGCCAACTAAAATAATCTCCTTAGCCCCCCTGTGGGTGTGTATTGGCCGTTCGCTGCCCCCTGCTGTGTGTTCTGTTTGGCCGGTGAAGCGGACAGTGGAGGAAGTTTCAGCCCGACGGGCTTCCTGACCCAACAGGACAGTGTGTGTGTGTGTGTGGGGTGGTTACACCTGCTGCCCTCCAAACACGCTCCACACACAGCGACTCTGAGCCAAACAAGGGCAAAACAGCCTCTAATTACAGCCGAGTAAACACAGCACTGTCTTAGCACCGCGGTACTAATTGACCTCTTCTACAGTCATACGCAAACATTTCAACACTCCCGAAATGTCATGTTTTGTTGATTTTCTAAGGCAAAATAAGTGAGCACATCCTCTACACACAGATATGACATTTTCCACCAAGTTTTACAGCACATTTTTTAAATATAAAATGTGCCTTTTGCAGCACACTGTATGCTTTATTTATTAAAATACGTTAAATTCAGCAAATAAACAGTAATTGTGTATTAAAGTCTGCAGTCTGTAGAGGATGTGCAATCTTATTACATCAACAAAAACAACATGGAATTTGAGCAAAATTTTTGTACACAACTGTAATTTAGCCTTTCACAGGGAAAATCCTTCACCTCTATTCGTTTTCAGAAACAGAACTGGATCTATTGACCAAGGAACAAATTACTTATAATTGTCTTATAGATCTCCTAAATTCTGGAACAGCTTTTCAGAGATATTAGGAATGTAAGCTCAATAAATTCAGATTAAAAACATATTTCTTTAAGCTGGCATTTTCCAGAGTATTGTGACTCATTCTGTCTTGTTTGCAATTGTGCTGTTATTTTCATTTGAAGTGTTTTATCTTTCCAGCTTTGTACTTTTAATTTACTGTGTGTGTGTTTACCTTTTGTTTGAAGAAATCTCTCTCCTCCAGCGTCAGCGTGTCTGCCTTGGCGATGACGGGGACGATGTTCACCACTTTACTCAGATGCCTCATGAACTCGATGTCAATCGGCCGCAGACTGAAACCAACAGACAAGCACAAATGCAAACTTTAAACAGAGAAGTTTACCACTGATTTGATCTAACTTTCGGAATAAAAACCTGATTTAAGGAAAATGGACTGAAATGGTCATGCCCGGGCTGTCCTTCAGTCTCACTGAATATTTAAAAGCCTGTTTACCCAACAGCGGATTACTTGAGACCAAAGAAGTGTCAAAAGCTGAGCAGTATGACAATATTATTGTTATTTACAATAAATTAATTTTTTATAAAGTTATTGACAATATTTATTGAGAGTATAATTTGTCCTGTTCAATCAGACTTGGTGCAGCACTGTGTGTGAAATATTCATAGTTTAGATAGTCACTGCCTTCTCTGTTTAGATGTTGGGGAAAAAAAGGAAATATGATGACATACTGTGTATTGTGAAAGTTCTTGAAGCATCATGACGTTACATTTTTTGCTACATCGCCCAGCTTTAGAGTCAGAGCTGAATTTAAGGATTGCTGACAGCACTACTGCAACAGCTGATGTTCTCTCTACAGGATTTTTTTTCTTGCTTAAGCTTATTCATTATTGTACAGTCATCAAAAATAAGAAAAGGTCAAACTATAGTGTGTTAAAGTGCACAACAGCACTGACTAAAGCAGCTAAAGCCCAAACTCTTATTAATTATTAATGCTATTTGTATATGGTGGTAACATGAAATGAACACCAGGGGGCAGTAAAGATCACACACTTCACTCTTATCTGTTCATCTCAAAGTTCTCACATCTGCCACAAGCCCAATCATAACTTTATGATGTAAATAATTACTGAATTGAAATTTAACATTATTGTAGCTAAATAATGCTGTAATGTAATGGACACCTATTTGCTTTGTTCTACAACCATAAGTGAAACCCAAACATACATAAAAAATCCTCATGTTTATGTATTTAATTTACAACAAAATTTCTTTAATACCCTAGACCTAAGCCTAATGTGCGGATCCTCAATACCAGTCAAATGCACGCACAACACCTTTATTCTGTTCTATCACACCAGACTAAAACCCCTTTAACACTAAGAACCTGTTTGTAGGCCCACACTTCAGTTTTTCAATCTATAACTGAGAGCGTGTAGAGGGGCTGGTTGATCACAAAAATTTGTCCAAAATTTGTCAACGCCTGAAAATTCAAGAGTAAAATCATGTAGTGTGTAGTTACTAGGCCTATATCCAATGACGGTTAAAGGGTAACTCCACTGGTTTTTCAAAATTTCCGCATGATTAACTGGTTAAGATGTAAACAGAGTCGTTCAGAGTGGTTTGGTGTGAAATGCTCTGTTCTACAGAAATTTAGAGTCAGAATTGTTCACAGTGGTGGAGACAGGAACCAGACGTTCACCTCTAAAAGCTCCCTCACAGAAAGTTATTACATGAAATGGGTATGAAAACACTGCCTGATGTCTGAGACATCGTTTTATGGTAGTTGTGAGAGAAGGTTTTGGTCTAAAACATATCTTAACCAATGAATTTTAATCCATTCACGGTGGAGGGATACATGCAGGATGCTCTAAGGCAAAATAGTCTCCAAAGAAAACTTGTTTTTCCACTATTTTCCCATCATAAACATTCCATAATAACTCAGAAGACGCATGTAGGTTCACTGCTGGTTTTGGATAGCCAATAAAATGTCTATATTGTGTTGTAGTCATAGCGACCCCTGGTTCCTCTCAGCACATCTGTAAAGAATTGTCAGTTTCTATACAAATTATTTCATGTCAAACCACTGACTGACTTTAAAACTCAACCACTGAATTTTTGAAATTTTGAAAAATTGGTGGAACTGGTGGAATAACTGAGTTACTGTGGTAAAAGTCTCCAGTTTAGAGATGTTTACCGACGGTTAATGTATTGATATATTTAATTCAAACCACAGCAAACAGCAGTGTTCTCGCTGGTCAACAAGACTGAACTTTAAAACATGTTGGGTGATGTGATATGCTACATCAACATTGTATTTATTGTACTCAACATAGGTGAGATTGTTCTAGAAACAGATGTGCTGGTTAATGCAGCAGACAGATATCATAAAAAGCTGTTCATGTTAAGGTGTACGCGTCAGGACATTCTCACTCCACGGCTTTGGGTTTCACACATCAGACAAAATGGCTTTAGGTTTCGGGAAAAACGCTTGAGTAAAATCGTGTCTCAGTTCTCGTTCATCAGGTGAAACCGATAGTTTCAAACAGTCTCAGACGAAACAGCTTCAGAGAAGGCAGCATAAGGCTAAGTGACCATGAAAGTTTGTGTAACACTCACAATTCCCTTCTTTTTCACCAGAGTACTTGAGGTTATGTGGCCAAATTAAAAATGAAAACATACTACAGTGGCTTAACCATTTACCGCGGTTACTTTTCACATGGCTGCCTGAATAAGAGGACTCTGTTACTGGCACAGGCCTGGCAGTTACTGAATAGTATTAACCTTATTAATAACTTATTAATAAAATGAGAGTTCAGGGGGTTTAATTTTGACCTCATGACTCAATCAGGTGTAACATCTCAAACAACAAAACTCAGACCGGTCCACCGCAAATGTCTGGTGGTGTAATGAGACTGTCGCGGTTCCTCCTTCTCTGTACAGGTAAAGGTTAAAGACAGGGATCAAACCCTGGGAAATGGAAGTTTAGAAGGCAGTCTAACTCACAATGTTGTGCTGCGGTCTTGCAACAGACTCCCTCACTTCTCCATTAGGCAAACCTGGTACCTGGTACTATTTTTGGTATCACCTCCATCAAGGTTCCAGGTGAGCTGAGCTGATATGGAAAGGTGACATGGAAAAACTGCAGACTGCTGATTGGTCAGAGAGGATCGCTAAAATCACCCTAAACACATATGATAACGCTAACAGGTTGCATCGACTTTGAGCACCAGAATTGTCTCGCCGTCTGAACTCTGATGTAGTTTTTCCCAAACTCTAATGTTTTTCTTCAGCAGCCTTTTGTCTCGCTGCCATCAGCCTCTTCTGAACCCTTCACATCATGGCAGTTTCATATGGTGTCGCTATGACGACAAGCTACATTGAGGGGGCGCTATATCTGCAGTGGAAAACGAAGTAGCTGGTACCAAAAGCGAGTAGAGTTGAGCAGAGTCAAGTGGAGTCGGGGCCAAGTGGTGGAAAAGCGCCATTACAGAGGGCACTGATCCGATATCAGGTATGGGTACCGGGCTGATATCAGCGGGAAATGCTGGATGGAAAATGGGAATCTATCCAGAACAGTCCACAATCACAGCATGCTATTACTTTTTATGAACTTTTACTGACTCCTAGCTCAGTGAAACAAGCAGAGAAATTGTGTGGAAAGGGCAGATTCTGTGTTTGTAACAGGAAGAGGATATTTTTTATAAAGATTTGAAGCTGATGGATTGACGGAGTGTTATTATGCACAGTTTTGTTAAGCAGAAGGAAAAACCTTAATCGCGCCTTTTTTTTTGGACACCGAAATGCAAATCTATCCATACAAAATATACACTGAATGTAAGTCTAATTTATTACTTAATTAATGACATGATTATGCAATTTCATGTTAAAAAAGTAATGTGAACAGAACATATTAAAATTGAAATAACACCACTAGACTTCTAGGGGTTAAAGGTCCAGAGAGGTGAGCCAGCTGCTGACGTTGGTAGAGAGTGGGTTCTCTGAAATAAATTTTAAAAGTCAGAAACTCAAACCAGCCCCAAAGCCACTGACGGCTTAAATACAGATCTCTAGAATTACTTGAAGCTGCTTGTACTTAATATTCACAACACTTATAATCATTTTTTACATAAAGCATTCACATTGTGGCTTAAGGCATGGCAACAGGCAAAACAAATATACGACTCTGGCATCAGGAGCAAGACATTGGTCAACAAGACCCCGGAGCCATCAAACTGACCGATCAGTCGCAGAGACAAAGTGGAAAAGAAGCAGGGTGATCTTTCATTTGGTAGGAACTGTTCCAGAACCCTCTCAGCCTCAGGAAACCGCGGCCAAACCAGGCAGACGGCACGAGCCTGAAACAAAGAAACCCAGCGCAGAGCCGGCTCAGGCCAAACTTCAGATTCATGCAATTATTGGAAACTTTCCTCGTCAAGGAGACTCCGGCCTCGGAGACACCACGCTGCTCTGGAAAGCGTCCAGAACTGAGTACTACCAACTGCACAACAGCTGTTGTAAAATGCTTAACCTCTTAATGCCTGCACGAAAATGAATAGGAATATCCTCAGTACTTCAGAGGCCTTCCATTGGTCCTGTGATAAAAGAAATCAATAATGTACACATTTTCACACGTCAATGGCATTCTGCATGTGTGAAAAAGTTTAAGCACTCTGAATGAATCTCCCAGCATATGTTAGGTTTTACAGATTACATCCTCACATGACTAGACTTATACACTGAATTCTGCAGTAGCCTCTTTTTGCAGGCCTTCAGGACTAACTAGGAAACTGCTGGAAATGTTGTGACGCTGTGTTGAGCTGCTAGTGAGCAACAACGGGTGAAAGGGGAGGAGTGAGAACCCGCTGCTGTGAAGAACAATTCACACCTCTCCACAAAGACGGCTGTTCTGTGATAAAACAGACAACTGCCGCTTTCTTCATATCACACAGTGCTGCACAAGTGATATAATAAACACACAGCATTTAAACACAATAAAAACAACTCTGAGATGTCTGAGGGACATAAATATTTTAAAATTGTAAGACTCGTTCTATGAATTCTTAGAACGTTGAGAGTATTTTTAGAACGTGTGCTTCATTCTCTGCATTGCAGAACTGATTCCCTGCTTCAGATGGTTGTTTATAGCTGTAGGGTTGTGGTATAAGAGATCTCCGACAGGCTACAGGGAAATGATTATTTCCTGTTTTCACTCCTGTCAGGTTAAATATACCAGAGCCAGGAACTGAGATCCCAGTCCGGCTGCCAGTCTGCAGGGTCTGAGAGTGCTGTGGAGGTGAAGGGGTCTTTTTCTGAGGCTGGACAGTGTTATAGATGAAGGAACTCGTGCCTGAGAATGTTCGAGAAACAGTCATGTGGCATGAGGCGAAACCAGCAGCTGTTAAAGTGTACACACACACACACACACAGCTGAAACACTCTACAGACACACACACAGTTCACAACAGCTGAGTACTGAAACACACTCACACAAGTGCATAACTAACACACACACACACGCAATGCAAGAGTGTGTACACGTGCTGAAGGTGATATGAAGAAAACACAGTAGAGGATGCCTGTGTGTGTATGTATTTGTGTATGTGTGTGTGTGTGTGTGTGTGTGTGTGTGTGTGTGTACTTGTATTGCTACCATTGTGAGGACCAAATGTCCTCATAATAATAGGACAATATGAAATTTTGTATAAGTGTGGTTTTCTCAACGAATTCAACAATTTGGTAAAAACTAAAAAAACAATAAGATTGCCTTTTGGATAAAGAGGTTAAGGTTAGGGTTAGGTGTAGGTGTAAAAAAAAATGAATAAAAGTAAATAAAAAATAAATAAAAATTCACATTTTAAAATGAGTCATAATATGGGCAAAAAAAAATTCACAAACTTTTTGCCCAAATTATTCAGCTCTACACAGATCAATCATAACATTAAATAAACATAACTGTTTATTTATATTCTTGAAACTGTTCTAAAGACAGCGTTTTCAACAAATAAAGGATTACTGCTCAGATACATGACATTACATGCAATTTTCTAAGGTGGCTGAAGACTTCTGTACGCTTTTAATACATACAGGACATACTATTATTACATGTACATACTTTTAAGTATAAAAGTGTTTGTGTGTGTGTGTGTGTGTGCGCGCATGTGTCTCACCAGTGTCCTGTAGCTGGTATGAAGTAAATGCAGCAGTGGACACGTGTGTCTGGGATTCTCTTCTTCCTGCTGATGTTGATCTCCTCCTGCAGGTACTGTTCATACTGTTCATTAATGAACTTCATTATGGGCTGCCAGCTGCAGAAAACACAAATACACACAAATTAACACATGCGACCACGGTAAACACTAATTGCGCATCTAGTATTTACTTTTTTTAAAATAAGCAAGTATCGTCATTTATCAAAAAAGGGAATGAATGGAGTTACCAGTTCTCATTGTTGATCTGGTCTCCAAATCCTGGCGTGTCTATCACTGTTAACTTCATTCTTACTCCTTTTTCTTCAATATCTACAACACATTCCACCCACACACACACACACACACACACACACACACACACACACAATGAAATGATTTCACATTCTTAGACTTTGATGCACGTCAGTTAGTAGTCTGAGGCAGTTGTTTCATACACAGTGTAGAGATTAGAGATGGCCTGATACCACTTTTTCATTTCAATACCAGTACTGAAGCTTTGATTACTGGGCTAATACTGATAATATCCAAACTTTTTCTTTTCAACTGCTAAACTTTAAAATGAGATGTTTTTTACTGAAACACTTCACTTCAGTAGTCTATGACACTAAAACTACACTCTTAAAAAAGATGATGTGCATGGTGAAATGGTTCTTCAGACTGATGGAGAATGTGTTATATATGGTTTTCTATAGAACATATTTAAAAGGGTTCCATATAGCACCAAAAAGCGTTCTTCTATTGTTACAAGCTTGACATCATAACAATAGAAGAATGTTTTTTGGTGCTATATAGAACCATATACAACACATTCTCCATCATTTCACCATGCAAAGAACCACTTTTTCATGCAAATGGGTCTTTAAGTATTCAGGGTACTATATAGAATCACTGTCCTTACTAAAGAACCCTTGAAAAATCACCTTTTATAAGAGCACACTCAATCACTCTATTAGCCTCAGAGGAGAAACTACACAGCTAATGTCACATCAGACAGCGTGAGAGTGTATTTCAGGACAGATCTGTAAATGGACTGGATCACATTCTTTTTATTTCTTCACAGAACCCATCCAGCATGTTCTACTGATATCAGCCTTACAGCCTCACCCATCAACAATATGTCTTCTTTAGTGGAGATGAATATATGAAACTGAAAACTGAAAAGCTGCCAGTGACGTGTTTACTAGGGAGGCATTGATACCATTTTTTAATTACAGAGTTCAATACCATAACAAATTACTATCAAATCATTAAAATCTTAAAACATTTTTGCATGTTGTGTGTGTGTGTTATATACCATGGCTGACAGATTTGATCTCAATGGTTTTGGGGATCCTCTCCTCGTCGCTGGGCATCACTGACCGGCGGCTCACTTTAGACTTAAACAGAGTGTTGATCAGAGTAGATTTTCCCAGACCGCTCTGACCTGCAAACACATACACACACACACACACACCATTAGGATCATCAGATCACTTTTGTGTACCACAGAAGAATTTGGAGAATAATCGTGATTTAGGTATTTTCACTGAATATTCTGTCTTTCAGTCATAACATAACACTTACAGCTCACAGCATCGATTAACCAATTGAGTCCACTCTCACTCATTCATGACTAAGCTAACATCAAGACAGCTCATTACTGAGCAACAGATGGAAGGATCTCCAGAGCTCTCTCACTTACACACAGTGGACAATGAAGAAGTCAGTGGGGAGTCTGAGAGAGCAGCTTGCTGACCCTCCTCCTGCCATCCATGACAAGGGAAGGAACAAAAGATGCTGTTAATCAGCAAAGCTGCCATGTTCAATAAAACTAATACAGCTATAAATCCCACTATAACCTGTACAGCTATCTACCCCACCAGAACCAGTACAGCTATCTTCCCACTAGAACCAGTTATCTACCCCACCAGAACCAGTACAGCTATGTGCCTCACTAGAACCAGTTATCTACCCCACTAGAACCAGTTATTTGCCCCACCATAACCATTACAGCTATCTGCCCCACTAGAACCAGTATAGCTATCTGCCCCACTAAAACCAGGCTGCTTAAGTAGAACAGTACAGCTATCTGACTCACTAGAACCAGTACAGCTATCTGCCCCATTGGAACCAGTTATCTACCCCATTAGAACCATTTATCTGCCCCACCATAACTATTGCAGCTGTCTGGCCCACTAGAACCAGTTATCTGCCCCATCATAACCAGTATAGCTATATGCCCTTCTAGAACCAGTATAGCTATCTGCCCCACTAGAACCAGTATAGCTATTTGTCCTACAAGAACCGGTATAGCTATCTACCCCACTAGAACCAGTATACCTATCTGGCCCAAGAGAACCAGTTATCTGCCCCATCATAACCAGTATATCTATATGCCTCACTAGAACCAGTATAGCTATCTGCCCCATTAGAACCAGTATAGCTATCTGTCCCACGAGAACCAGTATAGCTATTTGTCCTACAAGAATTGGTATAGCTATCTGCCCCATTATAACCAGTATAGCTATCTGCTTCACTAGAACCAGTATAGCTATCTGTCCCACAAGAACCAGTTATCTGCCCCACTAGAACCAGTATAGCTATCTACCCCATTAGAACAAGTATAGCAATCTGTCCCATGAGAACCAGTTATCTGCCCAATCATAACCAGTATAGCTATGCGCCCCACTAGAACCAGTACAGCTGTCTACCCCACTAGAACCAGTACAACTAACCACCCCACCAGAACCAGTTATCTGCCCCATTAGAACAAGTATAGCTATCTGCCCCACTACAACTAGTTGTCTGCTCCACTAGATCCATTACAGCTAAATGACTCACTAGTGCTGTTATCTGCCCCACTAGAACCAGTACAGCTATCTAACAAGCACAGTTAGCTGCCTCAGTAACACAGCTATCTGCCCTGCTAGCATACAACCTCAAATTAAATAAATTTATCCATTATATATTTATACTTTGCATCCTGAAAATAAATATAACAGCTCCTTCACACTTCAGCAGTAGAGCATCACAGCTCTTCCATAAGACTGTATCACTCTGAGCTCCTCCCACAGCTCCTCAGTGTTTGTATCTGGCTGAGCTCCATCACAGCTCTCCTGTGGGCTCTCTGGCAGGTAAACAAACAAAGCCACAAGTCGTTTACAGAGTCTTTTCCAGCCTTCAGCTGAGTAGAGCTCGCTAATTAGGGGAAGAGCGTAAACACACACACAAACAAATAGCGGAGGAGACGTTGTGTGTTTAAGTGTGTACAGCACAATACAGTCTGACAGCAGCTGCTGTAACAGTGGGAAGTAAAACGGCAAAAAGAATTTACGCATAAATAAAGGCTACAGATATGTGAACCGCTCGCTTCTGATGCCGTTCAAGGCTGATTTTCCTGAACAGCTACAAGTGGCCGCAAGTCATCGCTACAGGTGCCAAAAAAAACAAATAAAAACTGAAATGTATCTCAACCACCCACAGCGCAGAGAGACAGAGCACATACTGCTCTCTGAAGGGAAGAACACCTTCGAGAGCACTCTATAGATTTAACAGAATAAAATGTTCAATATCATTTAGTTAGGGTTTGGCATCATAACTAGTTTCACAATGCTATTTCCAGCTAAAAGATATGAGGCAAATAATGCTGACTGAAGTAACAGACAATTAGCGTTTGTCTGTTTTAGGGCTGCTAAATAACATTATCAATAACGTTGATAAAAAAAAGCTGTCAACGAATCAAGTTATCAATTAGTTGGGTTAATGACTTTTGCACTTCTCTTTAACTGCTTTAAAATGATGTCAGACTCAGGAAAACGTACTTCACGTGTACTTATTAAAGAAGGACGAGAGGAAGACGTCAAGTTCTGAGACACATAAGCTGGACGCCCGTGCATGTAAATTTACATTGCATGTAAATGTGGCTACTGTATATCTTATTAAAACCGCAATCAAAACTAAAACAGAGCATCACTGTCTGCTTTTCAGCAGATTCTGTTTAGTAAAACAGCACTGGGTGAGGTGATAAATTGCATTTAAAACTGTTTGCCAAAGCTGTTAGAAACTGCTCAACTAAACTCTACTGTTATCAGGGCGGCCTAATGCACACAGATCAGCTCGGATGTTTTTAGTGTTTTCTTCTCTGGGGTTTAGCATCCCTTCCACATAAGAACAGAGCTATGTGTGAGCTATGTGTGTTTTGTAATTGGCTGTTTAGCCAAGTGGTTAAGTCACTTGTCTCCCATGGGGGATGGCAACGTTCCATATCGGCACGGAGAAGCTCTCAAAAGGCGTCTAAGTTGGTGTCCAATATATTGTCATCACTCTGGCGCTGCATGTATGAGTTTATTTGAGCGGTTCTGTCATTGCAGCACAGAGTACCACAGAATTTGGCCAACATTTTATTTGCTGAAATTGCCCTGCAGAGGGTTTAAGCCAGTGACTCACCCACTACCATGATATTGAGTTCGAAGCCCTGCTTCATGGCCTTCCTCCTCATCTGCTCCAGGATGGCGTCGATGCCCACATAGCCAAACTCTGCCCCCTTCTCGGGCTTCGCTGGTTGAGGCTGCGCCGCCTTTGCTGCATCTGCCATGTTACCGTGGAAACTGGTGATAACCTCTGACCCTGATGATGCAAACACACAAGAAAAGGGCAGTCAATGCTGTGAGCATTTAAAATAACATGATAAAATTTCACTTGGCTTAAACAGACTCAACTAATCTAGGGATGTGCTGTGCAGAGTGAATACAGATGTCCATTATGAAATCATGAGTTCAGCAATCGTGATTTGATTATTTTCATTATTTATATATTTATTTATTTATTTATTTATGTAAAAATAGGTGGCACAAGGCTACTTCTTGCTGTCCAATAGTGATACTGATCATTTGACACTGATACCATTCCAAAAAACACTAAGTTTTAAAATGAGCTGAGAAACGGCTAGAGAACCAAAACAGAGCAGAGAACACAAGTTAGAGCGAAAAAAAGAGAGAGAGATAGAGAGAGAGAGAGAGAGAGAGAGAGAGAGAGAGAGAGAGAGAGAGAGAGAGAGAGAGAGAGAGAGAAAGAAAGAAAGTGAGAACTTAATTGAATAAACTTTTTGTCCCTGGGGATGCAATAATTCATAACTGGGCATAAACACATGACACAAACATATAACAAAGACAACTAAATACAAACATACATTTGTAAACAAAATGCACAGTTTGCACAGAGCTCGCCGCAAATGTTCTGTAATAAAGACAGATGAACTCTGACGTTGAGACAGAAAAGTGAGAGTGGGAAGTAATCATATTGTTTTTCTACGACAGCATGTCTTCCTCTTTATAATGGCTGTCTAGACACCAGCCAGAAAAAGATACCATAAACAGCCACACAGACTCTCTGCAGTGGCTGAAGCTCTTCAACCCAACAGCATTCAAAACACCGCCGACCCACAAACATGTACAAACACACCTCATCAATTACAGCCTGACGTCAGACCGACCGTGCGCATCACAAATCATAATGACTCAAATTATAAATCATATCAGCCGTGCAGAGGGGCGGAGCCAGAGACTCGCAGGGAATTTGCTTCTGATGTTCAGTCTTGCTAAATGTGGACGACCTGTTCTTACCTGCAAATGCATTTTGAAATCTTTGGCTTTGAGTCTACATACATTGAGCAACTCAGTGCCGTTCATAGAGAATTACTGCGCAAATGATGAACTGTCAGAGCAGGAATTCATGGGCTTAATCCTTACGTGCTGCTGTTAAAGCCCACTGATAACAAAGCCATGTAATGACTATGAACTATTTCTGACTTGTTGCTCATCAAAACGAGCAGAGAAATTGGTGGAAAAAGCAGGTTCTAAACTCCATAACACAGTGTTTGTAAGTAGGAGATATTTCATTATGATATCAATTTGAAAAGCTATTGTTGTGTATACAGTTTTGTGGCTGTTAACGCTGTTTGTTTAATAACAATTTCTGAATGCTGTTTCTTTTATAATCATGATGAAGACTGTGATCTAACAAAGCTGAAAATTCAGAGATTTTGATATTTGGGGGGCCGTCAGGTTCTTGTGATTAAGTAATCATTATAAATTACTATAAAATGTAGAATGTCACTTAATAATTACTATAATGGTACTTAATTTTTTATTTACATAATTACATTTGAATAGTATAGCACAATGGTTTCAACGTTTGACGTGCAGTGGTACTGCTCAGGGACCATAGGCAGTCAGTATAATTAACATATATTTTTAATTTTTACTACTGCAAGACACTATTATAATATATAGAAATTTTATAAACAATTTTAAATATGACAAATATTATTTGTGAAGATTATTTGCAAAAATATATCTAACGATCTATCACTCCATCTCTCAAAAGCAATACACCATAAATGTGTTAAAATAACTGCACAAAGGCTGTGCAGACTGTCTTCAGTATCACAGCATTCAGGAAATGGTGTTTACTTCCTTCACTCAGTGAGACACTTCCCGTCAGTGAAAGACACACACACACACGCGCGCGCACACCTACACACACACACGCACACACCCACACACCCACACAAAAACACACTGGCCAAACATCAGTGGGGAACCCTGAGAGCTTTATACAGCTTCAGAAAAAACCTGATTTCTGGGAGCCTGTAATTTTTTATTCATTTTTATTTAAAGCAACACTATGCAACAAGTTTACTGTAAAATAACAGCTTCAAAATCATTTTGATGCTACACTGACTTATAACAGTGAAAATGGCGTCTCTGTCGTTGCCATTCCGGGCCAGAACTTGTGACTATGTAACCTGGAGGAGCAGCACGAGAACCTCTCGCCAGAACTGTGTAACACTTTATGGGACCACGTCACACATCAACAGCTCATCTAGCTATAACTATATATAGCTTAGCTAGCCGTATTCAAAGCATGGACATCATGGCAGAGGCTGTGGAGAAACCGAAGAAGATGCTGTTGGAGGAAGAGAGGAAGAGAAAAACAGAGAGTGACTGAGCAAGAGACCAGACAAGAGTAAATCTTGGACTGGCTTTTACTCGCTGACGAGAGCTAAGAGACAAAGGGATGCAGGACAGTCTCATGGCTAACAGGAAAACAGCGAGAGAAGAGTGTTCATCCCTGCCAGTGTTATTTATGATAGACTGCACCATAGGCTGTGATCTTATCTGTGCTATCCGTGTCTCATGGAGTTCTGTAGTTACTCTGGATGCCAAATGTCATCTAACCTCAATCTTGTTTCAGGTTAGCATGCAAAGAAAAACAGGGTGTCCCAAAAAAATTGACATCATTTCATAGTCTAATAACATAGCCAATTCTCCCTCAAATGATCTCAAATTTTAACAAAATGTGTAAAAACTTACCAAGTTTAATTTTTAATGTTTTTTTTTCAGGTTGAAGAATGGCGTTCACTAGAAATGAAAAGGCATTTTGTGTGTTAAAATATGCTCGAACACAGTCAAACAAGAGTGTGCAGCATGCATTCTCGAGAAAATTCAATAAAAATGCACCAACTGGAAAGCAGATTTGGACATGGCACAAAAATTTCAAAGAGAAAGGCTGTCTGGATCTGGACGACCACCAGTATCGGAAGATATTACGTTTGTGAAGCTTTGTGAAATCGGTTATAAAATCTCTCTGAATTTCTTGTTGGAATTTTGATAAATAACTCTTGTATTGTTCAACATGAAGCCTATGTAATTTCGTTTGCCTAGGACATGCAGTTACCCAGATATTCACATCTCAAACGATGTCAATTTTTTTGGGACACCCCGTACATTCATCTTACACCAAAAATGTAGTCAGTCTTTGTTAAGCATTTAAGTTTGCAGCCTCCTGTAATAAAATCCTGTATTACTGTAAAAAACATTAATAAAATCATGCAATATTCAACATGGCTGACATACAAGGTGAAGAATTTCTGAAATTAGCATCATCATTAAGATGTTTTATTCTCATTTTGTGACCCAGTATTGACATTTACATTATGAGCTGAAAGCCTAATAGTAGGTTTACCACTGCCTTACACTGAAAAACAGTATTTAATCAGTCAACTGGTCTTAAACGTATACAATGAATAAAATCCGAGTAAAATGTTACAGCAATATAATTCTGACTTTCAGTGTACTTATGTTTGACTATACATATACTGATGTAATCCAAAAATTTAGGAGTGTCCCTCAGAGTTCCCCTCCTCTCCTCTCATCACTTCCCTCTACTCAAGATGTGGTCCACATTTACAAATTGTTGTTAATGAAATGCTTTAATCAGTAATGTTAATGCTGTTAACCATGAATGAAAATGAGTAGCCACCCAGCAGTAGTTTTAAATGACATTGGAGCTGGGCAATATGACAACACATAATTATAAATTATGATAAATTATGTCACAATACGCTTTTCTGAGCATGTCATACTTATTATTGCATCTTATGCAACATATCAGTACTTGTAGAACACTGACCAATTGCATGTTTCATTATAAATCAAAATTAGTCCCATTTAATAGGATTTAGTGCCAAATATGAAATAAAATTCATTGTATTAAAATTTTTTATAGTATTTTTACGGTTCTACGGTTTTATCCCTCTCAGTTCCAACTGTGAAAAAAATAAATAGTGACATAACATACTGTAAAAATTTCTTTGTATTGCAATATAATATTTTCACCATATTGCCCACCTCTGAATGACGTAGTGGTAATTTTTAGCTTCCATTCATGCACAGAAAAGGTTAGAAGTCCAAACTTTGTCTAAAAGTCCACCTCTGCCTCAGATTTAACCAAAAGCTCCACATGCAGATGCTGTCCCCCATTTTACATGAACCTTTGGCTAGAACCTTTTCAATACAATTTCAAAGAATGACGAGTCTGGTTAAACCTAATCAATCAAAGAAGCTTGTGTGGAATTTTCCATTCGAGTCAAGGCTGATTCGCCGCATGCTTCTCTGTTTCCCTACATTCCTCTGACATTTAAACTAAAGCACACAATCAAACGTGAAATCAACACTACAGCCTGGGGTGAACCGCACTTCTCTTTATGCCAGAACTGAAGTGAACCACTCCAAAACTGCTTTCCAAACAGGAGCCCCACTAATATTTCACATTTTCATCAGTCCATTACAAGTGGAGGTGTTTGTATGAATGTGACCATTTAGTGTGTGTTTCCAGCTGTTAACAGCGGCTTTTAAAGGCCTGACTTTATCCAGTTTACTGAAGCTACTGAAATCCCTGGTTCCGTAGGCATCATTTAAGCATGATAAATGCTAACCTAGCTAACAATTAATGAACAACAGAACAGACTGGGTTTCATAAGCATTCTGCTAACAGGCCCAACAGCCATCATTCACTGTCAGCCATATTGGCATTTTTGGAGGAAGTTCTGTTTTCACCTCTTAACCCTTACAAGTCCAGAGTTACTGCTGTCAATTTGCTGTTCTATTTCTATAAAGATGCTGTTCTATAAAGATTTTTTACTGCAAAACAAAACTTTTCATTCAATTCAAATCCTAAAGCTGGCCATACACTTAACAACTTAAAATCTAACAACTTAAAATCTCAGAGAGCTAAAGAGTGACTCGTTTCTGTGACTTCGTTCGTCTGTAATCCAATCTTTACTC